TGGTCACTAGTCACACTGATCAGTAGGGGTAGACTGATCACTAGTCACACTGGTAAGTAGGGGTAGACTGGTCTCTAGTCACACTGGTCAGTAGGGATAGACTGGTCACTAGTTACACTGGTCAGTAGGGGTAGACGGGTCACTAGTCACACTGGTCAGTAGGGGTAGACTGGTCATTAGTCACACTGGTCAGTAGGGATAGACTGGCCACTAGTCACACTGGTCAGTAGGGATAGACTGGTCACTAGTCACACTGGTCAGTAGGGGTAGACTGGTCACTAGTCACACTGGTCAGTAGGGGTAGACTGGTCACTAGTCACACTGGTCAGTAGGGGTAGACTGGTCTCTAGTCACACTGGTCAGTAGGGATAGACTGGTCACTAGTTACACTGGTCAGTAGGGGTAGACGGGTCACTAGTCACACTGGTCAGTAGGGGTAGACTGGTCATTAGTCACACTGGTCAGTAGGGATAGACTGGCCACTAGTCACACTGGTCAGTAGGGATAGACTGGTCACTAGTCACACTGGTCAGTAGGGGTAGACTGGTCACTAGTCACACTGGTCAGTATAGGGGTAGACTGGTCACTAGTCACACTGGTCAGTAGGGGTAGACTGGTCACTAGTCACACTGGTCAGTAGGGATAGACTGGTCACTAGTCACACTGGTCAGTAGGGGTAGACTGGTCACCAGTCACACTGGTCAGTAGGGGTAGACTTGTCACTAGTCACACTGGTCAGTAGGGATAGACTGGTCACTAGTCACACTGGTCAGTAGGGGTAGACTGGTCACTAGTCACACTGGTCAGTAGGGGTAGACTGGTCACTAGTCACACTGGTCAGTAGGGGTAGACTGGTCCCTAGTCACACTGGTCAGTAGGGGTAGACTGGTCACTAGTCACACTGGTCAGTAGGGGTAGACTGGTCACTAGTCACACTGGTCAGTAGGGGTAGACTGGTCACTAGTCACACTGGTCAGTAGGGGTAGACTGGTCACTAGTCACACTGGTCAGTAGGGATAGACTGGTCACTAGTCACACTGGTCAGTAGGGGTAGACTGGTCACTAGTCACACTGGTCAGTAGGGGTAGACTGCTCACTTGTCACACTGGTCAGTAGGGATAGACTGGTCACTAGTCACACTGGTCAGTAGGGATAGACTGGTCACTAGTCACACTGGTCAGTAGGGATAGACTGGTCACTAGTCACACTGGTCAGTAGGGGTAGACTGGTCACTAGTCACACTGGTCAGTAGGGATAGACTGGTCACTAGTCACACTGGTCAGTAGGGGTAGACTGGTAACTAGTCACACTGGTCAGTAGGGGTAGACTGGTCACTAGTCACACTGGTCAGTAGGGGTAGACTGGTCACTAGTCACACTGGTCAGTAGGGATAGACTGGTCACTAGTCACACTGGTCAGTAGGGGTAGACTGGTCACTAGTCACACTGGTCAGTAGGGGTAGTCTGGTCACTAGTCACACTGATCAGTAGGGGTAGACTGATCACTAGTCACACTGGTAAGTAGGGGTAGACTGGTCTCTAGTCACACTGGTCAGTAGGGATAGACTGGTCACTAGTTACACTGGTCAGTAGGGGTAGACGGGTCACTAGTCACACTGGTCAGTAGGGGTAGACTGGTCATTAGTCACACTGGTCAGTAGGGATAGACTGGCCACTAGTCACACTGGTCAGTAGGGATAGACTGGTCACTAGTCACACTGGTCAGTAGGGGTAGACTGGTCACTAGTCACACTGGTCAGTAGGGGTAGACTGGTCACTAGTCACACTGGTCAGTAGGGGTAGACTGGTCACTATTCACACTGGTCAGTAGGGATAGACTGGTCACTAGTCACACTGGTCAGTAGGGATAGACTGGTCACCAGTCACACTGGTCAGTAGGGGCAGACTGGTCACTAGTCACACTGGTCAGTAGGGGTAGACTGGTCACTAGTCACACTGGTCAGTAGGGATAGACTGGTCACTAGTCACACTGGTCAGTAGGGATAGACTGGTCACTAGTCACACTGGTCAGTAGGGGTAGACTGGTCACTAGTCACACTGGTCAGTAGGGGTAGACTGGTCACTAGTCACACTGGTCCTGAGTAGAGATAGAGTGGTCACAAGTCACACTGGTCAGTAGGGATAGACTGGTCACTAGTCACACTGGTCAGTAGGGGTAGACTGGTCACTAGTCACACTGGTCAGTAGGGGTAGACTGGTCACTAGTCACACTGGTCCTGAGTAGAGATAGAGTGGTCACAAGTCACACTGGTCAGTAGGGATAGACTGGTCACTAGTCACACTGGTCAGTAGGGGTAGACTGGTCACTAGTCACACTGGTCAGTAGGGGTAGACTGGTCACTAGTCACACTGGTCAGTAGGGGCAGACTGGTCACTAGTCACACTGGTCAGTAGGGGTGGACTGGTCACTAGTCACACTGGTCAGTAGGGATAGACTGGTCACTAGTCACACTGGTCATTAGGGGTAGACTGGTCACTAGTGACACTGGTCAGTAGGGGTAGTCTGGTCACTAGTCACACTGGTCACTAGTCACACTGGTCAGTAGGGATAGACTGGTCACAAGTCACACTGGTCAGTAGGGGTAGACTGGTCATTAGTCACACTGGTCAGTAGGGATAGACTGGCCACTAGTCACACTGGTCAGTAGGGATAGACTGGTCACTAGTCACACTGGTCAGTAGGGGTAGACTGGTCACTAGTCACACTGGTCAGTAGGGGTAGACTGGTCACTAGTCACACTGGTCAGTAGGGATAGACTGGTCACTAGTCACACTGGTCATTAGGGGTAGACTGGTCACTAGTGACACTGGTCAGTAGGGGTAGACTGGTCACTAGCCACACTGGTCAGTAGGGATAGACTGGTCACTAGTCACACTGGTCAGTAGGGGTAGTCTGGTCACTAGTCACACTGGTCACTAGTCACACTGGTCAGTAGGGATAGACTGGTCACAAGTCACACTGGTCAGTAGGGATAGACTGGTCACTAGTCACACTGGTCAGTAGGGGTAGACTGGTCACTAGTCACTCTGGTCAGTAGGGGTTGAGTGGTCACTAGTCACACTGGTCAGTAGGGGTAGACTGGTCTCTAGTCACACTGGTCAGTAGGGATAGACTGGTCACTAGTTACACTGGTCAGTAGGGGTAGATGGGTCACTAGTCACACTGGTCAGTAGGGGTAGACTGGTCATTAGTCACACTGGTCAGTAGGGATAGACTGGCCACTAGTCACACTGGTCAGTAGGGATAGACTGGTCACTAGTCACACTGGTCAGTAGGGGTAGACTGGTCACTAGTCACACTGGTCAGTAGGGGTAGACTGGTCACTAGTCACACTGGTCAGTAGGGGTAGACTTGTCACTAGTCACACTGGTCAGTAGGGATAGACTGGTCACTAGTCACACTGGTAAGTAGGGGTAGACTGGTCACTAGTCACACTGGTCAGTAGGGGTAGACTGGTCACTAGTCACACTGGTCAGTAGGGGTAGACTGGTCCCTAGTCACACTGGTCAGTAGGGATAGACTGGCCACTAGTCACACTGGTCAGTAGGGATAGACTGGTCACTAGTCACACTGGTCAGTAGGGGTAGACTGGTCACTAGTCACACTGGTCAGTAGGGGTAGACTGGTCACTAGTCACACTGGTCAGTAGGGGTAGACTGGTCACTAGTCACACTGGTCAGTAGGGATAGACTGGTCACTAGTCACACTGGTCAGTAGGGGTAGACTGGTCACTAGTCACACTGGTCAGTAGGGGTAGACTTGTCACTAGTCACACTGGTCAGTAGGGATAGACTGGTCACTAGTCACACTGGTCAGTAGGGGTAGACTGGTCACTAGTCACACTGGTCAGTAGGGGTAGACTGGTCACTAGTCACACTGGTCAGTAGGGGTAGACTGGTCCCTAGTCACACTGGTCAGTAGGGGTAGACTGGTCACTAGCCACACTGGTCAGTAGGGGTAGACTGGTCACTAGTCACACTGGTCAGTAGGGGTAGACTGGTCACTAGTCACACTGGTCAGTAGGGGTAGACTGGTCACTAGTCACACTGGTCAGTAGGGATAGACTGGTCACTAGTCACACTGGTCAGTAGGGGTAGACTGGTCACTAGTCACACTGGTCAGTAGGGGTAGACTGCTCACTTGTCACACTGGTCAGTAGGGATAGACTGGTCACTAGTCACACTGGTCAGTAGGGATAGACTGGTCACTAGTCACACTGGTCAGTAGGGATAGACTGGTCACTAGTCACACTGGTCAGTAGGGATAGACTGGTCACTAGTCACACTGGTCAGTAGGGGTAGACTGGTCACTAGTCACACTGGTCAGTAGGGATAGACTGGTCACTAGTCACACTGGTCAGTAGGGATAGACTGGTCACTAGTCACACTGGTCAGTAGGGGTAGACTGGTCACTAGTCACACTGGTCACAAGTCACACTGGTCACTAGTCACACTGGTCAGTAGGGATAGACTGGTCACTAGTCACACTGGTCAGTAGGGATAGACTGGTCACTAGTCACACTGGTCAGTAGGGATAGACTGGTCACTAGTCACACTGGTCAGTAGGGATAGACTGGTCACTAGTCACACTGGTCAGTAGGGATAGACTGGTCTCTAGTCACACTGGTCAGTAGGGGTAGACTGGTCACTAGTCACACTGGTCAGTAGGGGTAGACTGGTCACTAGTCACACTGGTCAGTAGGGGTAGACTGGTCACTAGTCACACTGGTCAGTAGGGATAGACTGGTCACTAGTCACACTGGTCAGTAGGGATAGACTGGTCACTAGTTACACTGGTCAGTAGGGGTAGACTGGTCACTAGTCACACTGGTCAGTAGGGATAGACTGGTCACTAGTCACACTGGTCAGTAGGGGTAGACTGGTCACTAGTCACACTGGTCAGTAGGGATAGACTGGTCACTAGTCACACTGATCTTTAGTTATAGGTTTTACTGTAGACCTTGAACAAAATGTACTCACCTTGTTGAATGGTGGTAACAGCTGCTGAGACACGTGAAAGCTTGTCACTAGTGTCCTGCTGGTGCTGTTGCAGTTGATCAATATTGGTGGTACTTGTAGCACTTTGCTCCAGTAGTTGTCCAATACTTGTGGAGGTTGTAGCACTTTGCTCCTGTAGTTGACGAACAGTTGTGTTGGTCTGGTTTTGCATTTCCACTATGCGTTCACATGCTGCAGTTGTATCTTGTTCACCTATATACATGATAAGATAGGTACACATAAACACTCTCTCACATGCACACACATGTGTATGCACCCATGTACGAATACACAAGTACACACACACACACACACACACACACACACACATGTGTATGCACCCATGTCAGGGCGTCATAGGGCGGCTGGGAGTGGTACGACCGGGTCAGGGTGTCCCCCAGAGAAAAAAATAAGGATTTTTCGGGTAAGAGGGCACGTTTTAGCACTCTACAGCCGCAAAGGAGGGCTCCCCCACTCCAGCTCCAAAAAACATACTTCTCGTGGATTTTTTGGTATTTTCTGTACATCGTAGGTAGCCAAGCAAGGCAAAAGGAACCTATTGCCCTCGAAAAAATCGCAAAATCGGAAGTACAAGAGTGCTGCTCGTTTTAGCGCCAGCGGCTGTGCAAACACGTACTAGTATGTCAAACTGGTCAGTAGGGATAGACTGGTCACTAGTCACACTGGTCAGTAGGGATAGACTGGTCACTAGTCACACTGGTCAGTAGGGATAGACTGGTCACTAGTCACACTGGTCAGTAGGGATAGACTGGTCACTAGTCACACTGGTCAGTAGGGATAGACTGGTCACTAGTCACACTGGTCAGCAGGGATAGACTGGTCACTAGTCACACTGGTCAGTGGGGGTAGACTGGTCACTAGTCACACTGGTCAGTAGGGATAGACTGGTCACTAGTCACACTGGTCAGTAGGGGTAGACTGGTCACTAGTCACACTGGTCAGTAGGGATAGACTGGTCACTAGTCACACTGGTCAGTAGGGGTAGACTGGTCACTAGTCACACTGGTCATTAGGGGTAGACTGGTCACTAGTGACACTGGTCAGTAGGGGCAGACTGGTCACTAGTCACACTGGTCAGTAGGGATAGACTGGTCACTAGTCACACTGGTCAGTAGGGATAGACTGGTCACTAGTCACACTGGTCAGTAGGGGTAGACTGGTCACTAGTCACACTGGTCAGTAGGGGTAGACTGGTCACCAGTCACACTGGTCAGTAGGGGTAGACTGGTCACTAGTCACACTGGTCAGTAGGGATAGACTGGTCACTAGTCACACTGGTCAGTAGGGATAGACTGGTCACTAGTCACACTGGTCAGTAGGGGTAGACTGGTCACTAGTCACACTGGTCTGAGTAGAGATAGACTGGTCACTAGTCACACTGGTCAGTAGGAATAGACTGGTCACTAGTCACACTGGTCAGTAGGGATAGACTGGTCACTAGTCACACTGGCACTGGTCAGTAGGGGTAGACTGGTCACTAGTCACACTGGTCAGTAGGGATCGACTGGTCACTAGTCACACTGGTCAGTAGGGATAGACTGGTCCCTAGTCACACTGGCACTGGTCAGTAGGGGTAGACTGGTCACTAGTCACACTGGTCAGTAGGGATAGACTGGTCACTAGTCACACTGATCAGTAGGGGTAGACTGGTCACTAGTCACACTGGTCAGTAGGGATCGACTGGTCACTAGTCACACTGGTCAGTAGGGATAGGCTGGTCACTAGTCACACTGATCAGTAGAGGCAGACTGGTCACTAGTCACACTGGTCAGTAGGGGTAGACTGGTCATTAGTCACACTGGTCAGTAGGGGTAGACTGGTCACTAGCCACACTGGTCAGTAGGGATAGACTGGTCACTAGTCACACTGGTCAGTAGGGATCGACTGATCACTAGTCACACCGTCAGTAGGGATAGACTGGTCACTAGTTACACTGGTCAGTAGGGGTAGACTGGTCTCTAGTCACACTGGTCAGTAGGGGTAGACTGGTCACTAGTCACACTGGTCAGTAGGGGTAGACTGGTCACTAGTCACACTGGTCAGTAGGGATAGACTGGTCTCTAGTCACACTGGTCAGTAGGGGTAGACTGGTCACTAGTCACACTGGTCAGTAGGGGTAGACTGGTCACTAGTCACACTGGTCAGTAGGGGTAGACTGGTCACTAGCCACACTGGTCAGTAGGGGTAGACTGGTCACTAGTCACACTGGTCAGTAGGGGTAGACTGGTCACTAGTCACACTGGTCAGTAGGGATAGACTGCTCACTAGTCACACTGGTCAGTAGGGATAGACTGGTCACTAGTCACACTGATCAGTAGGGATAGACTTGTCACTAGTCACACTGGTCAGTGGGGGTAGACTGGTCACTAGTCACACTGGTCAGTAGGGATAGACTGGTCACTAGTCACACTGGTCAGTAGGGGTAGACTGGTCACTAGTCACACTGGTCAGTAGGGATAGACTGGTCACAAGTCACACTGGTCAGTAGGGGTAGACTGGTCACTAGTCACACTGGTCAGTAGGGGTAGACTGGTCACTAGTCACACTGGTCAGTAGGGGCAGACTGGTCACTAGTCACACTGGTCATTAGGGGTAGACTGGTCACTAGTGACACTGGTCAGTAGGGTTAGACTGGTCACTAGTCACACTGGTCAGTAGGGATAGACTGGTCACTAGTCACACTGGTCAGTAGGGGTAGACTGGTCACTAGTCACACTGGTCAGTAGGGATAGACTGGTCACTAGTCACACTGATCTTTAGTTATAGGTTTTACTGTAGACCTTGAACAAAATGTACTCACCTTGTTGAATGGTGGTAACCGCTGCTGAGACACGTGAAAGCTTATCACTAGTGTCCTGCTGGTGCTGTTGCAGTTGATCAATATTGGTCGTACTTGTAGCACTTTGCTCCAGTAGTTGTCCAATGCTTGTGGAGGTTGTAGCACTTTGCTCCTGTAGTTGACGAACAGTTGTGTTGGTCTGGTTTTGCATTTCCACTATGCGTTCACATGCTGCAGTTGTATCTTGTTCACCTATATACATGATAAGATAGGTACACATAAACACTCTCTCACATGCACACACATGTGTATGCACCCATGTACGAATACACAAGTACACACACACACACACACACACACACACACATGTGTATGCACCCATGTCAGGGCGTCATAGGGCGGCTGGGAGTGGTACGACCGGGTCAGGGTGTCCCCCAGAGAAAAAAATAAGGATTTTTCGGCTAAGAGGGCACGTTTTAGCACTCTACAGCCGCAAAGGAGGGCTCCCCCACTCCAGCTCCAAAAAACATACTTCTCGTGGATTTTTTGGTATTTTCTGTACATCGTAGGTAGCCAAGCAAGGCAAAAGGAACCCATTGCCCTCGAAAAAATCGCAAAATCGGAAGTACAAGAGTGCTGCTCGTTTTAGCGCCAGCCCCTGTGCAAACACGTACTAGTATGTCAAACTGGTCAGTAGGGATAGACTGGTCACTAGTCACACTGGTCAGTAGGGATAGACTGGTCACTAGTCACACTGGTCAGTAGGGATAGACTGGTCACTAGTCACACTGGTCAGTAGGGATAGACTGGTCACTAGTCACACTGGTCAGTGGGGGTAGACTGGTCACTAGTCACACTGGTCAGTAGGGGTAGACCGGTCACTAGTCACACTGGTCAGTAGGGGTAGACTGGTCACTAGTCACACTGGTCAGGAGGGGTAGACTGGTCACTAGTCACACTGGTCAGTAGGGGGTAGACTGGTCACTAGTCACACTGGTCAGTAGGGATAGACTGGTCACTAGTCACACTGGTCAGTAGGGATAGACTGGTCACTAGTCACACTGGTCAGTTGGGATAGACTGGTCACTAGTCACACTGGTCAGTAGGGGTAGACTGGTCACTAGTCACACTGGTCAGTAGGGATAGACTGGTCACTAGTCACACTGGTCAGGAGGGGTAGACTGGTCACTAGTCACACTGGTCAGTAGGGGGTAGACTGGTCACTAGTCACACTGGTCAGTAGGGATAGACTGGTCACTAGTCACACTGGTCAGTAGGGATAGACTGGTCACTAGTCACACTGGTCAGTAGGGATAGACTGGTCACTAGTCACACTGGTCAGTAGGGGTAGACTGGTCACTAGTCACACTGGTCAGTAGGGATAGACTGGTCACTAGTCACACTGGTCAGTAGGGGCAGACTGGTCACTAGTCACACAGGTCAGTAGGGGTAGACTTGTCACTAGTCACACTGGTCAGTAGGGGTAGACTGGTCACTAGTCACACTGGTCAGTAGGGATAGACTGGTCACTAGTCACACTGGTCAGTAGGGATAGACTGGTCACTAGTCACACTGGTCAGTAGGGATAGACTGGCCACTAGTCACACTGGTCAGTAGGGATAGACTGGTCACTAGTCACACTGGTCAGTAGGGGTAGACTGGTCACTAGTCACACTGATCTTTAGTTATAGGTTTTACTGTAGACCTTGAACAAAATGTACTCACCTTGTTGAATGGTGGTAACTGCTGCTGAGACAAGGGAAACCTTATCACTAGTGTCTTGCTGGTGCTCCAGTAGGTGTCCAATGCGTGTGGAGGTTGTAGCACTTTGCTCCTGTAGTTGGCGGACAGTTGTGTTGGTCTGGTTTTGCATTTCCACTATGCGTTCACATGCTGCAGTTGTATCTTGTTCACCTATATACATGATAAGATAGGTACACATAAACACTCTCTCACATGCACACACATGTGTATGCACCCATGTACGAATACACAAGTACACACACACACACACACACACACACACATGTGTATGCACCCATGTCAGGGCGTCATAGGGCGGCTGGGAGTGGTACGACCGGGTCAGGGTGTCCCCCAGAGAAAAAAATAAGGATTTTTCGCCTAGGAGGGCACGTTTTAGCACTCTACAGCCGCAAAGGAGGGCTCCCCACTCCAGCTCCAAAAAACATACTTCTCGTGGATTTTTTGGTATTTTCTGTACATCGTAGGTAGCCAAGCAAGGCAAAAGGAACCCATTGCCCTCGAAAAAATCGCAAAATCGGAAGTACAAGAGTGCTGCTCGTTTTAGCGCCAGCCCCTGTGCAAACACTTACTAGTATGTCAAACTGGTCAGTAGGGATAGACTGGTCACGAGTCACACTGGTCAGTAGGGATAGACTGGTCACTAGTCACACTGGTCAGTAGGGATAGACTGGTCACTAGTCACACTGGTCAGTGGGGGTAGACTGGTCACTAGTCACACTGGTCAGTAGGGGTAGACTGGTCACTAGTCACACTGGTCAGTAGGGATAGACTGGTCACTAGTTACACTGGTCAGTAGGGGTAGACTGGTCACTAGTCACACTGGTCAGTAGGGGTAGACTGGTCACTAGTCACACTGGTCAGTAGGGATAGACTGGTCACTAGTCACACTGGTCATTAGGGGTAGACTGGTCACTAGTGACACTGGTCAGTAGGGGTAGTCTGGTCACTAGTCACACTGGTCACTAGTCACACTGGTCAGTAGGGATAGACTGGTCACAAGTCACACTGGTCAGTAGGGGTAGACTGGTCATTAGTCACACTGGTCAGTAGGGATAGACTGGCCACTAGTCACACTGGTCAGTAGGGATAGACTGGTCACTAGTCACACTGGTCAGTAGGGGTAGACTGGTCACTAGTCACACTGGTCAGTAGGGGTAGACTGGTCACTAGTCACACTGGTCAGTAGGGATAGACTGGTCACTAGTCACACTGGTCATTAGGGGTAGACTGGTCACTAGTCACACTGGTCAGTAGGGGTAGACTGGTCACTAGTCACACTGGTCAGTAGGGATAGACTGGTCACTAGTCACACTGGTCAGTAGGGGTAGTCTGGTCACTAGTCACACTGGTCACTAGTCACACTGGTCAGTAGGGATAGACTGGTCACAAGTCACACTGGTCAGTAGGGATAGACTGGTCACTAGTCACACTGGTCAGTAGGGGTAGACTGGTCACTAGTCACTCTGGTCAGTAGGGGTTGACTGGTCACTAGTCACACTGGTCAGTAGGGGTAGACTGGTCTCTAGTCACACTGGTCAGTAGGGATAGACTGGTCACTAGTTACACTGGTCAGTAGGGGTAGACGGGTCACTAGTCACACTGGTCAGTAGGGGTAGACTGGTCATTAGTCACACTGGTCAGTAGGGATAGACTGGCCACTAGTCACACTGGTCAGTAGGGATAGACTGGTCACTAGTCACACTGGTCAGTAGGGGTAGACTGGTCACTAGTCACACTGGTCAGTAGGGGTAGACTGGTCACTAGTCACACTGGTCAGTAGGGGTAGACTGGTCACTAGTCACACTGGTCAGTAGGGATAGACTGGTCACTAGTCACACTGGTCAGTAGGGGTAGACCGGTCACTAGTCACACTGGTCAGTAGGGGTAGACTGGTCACTAGTCACACTGGTCAGGAGGGGTAGACTGGTCACTAGTCACACTGGTCAGTAGGGGGTAGACTGGTCACTAGTCACACTGGTCAGTAGGGATAGACTGGTCACTAGTCACACTGGTCAGTAGGGATAGACTGGTCACTAGTCACACTGGTCATTTGGGATAGACTGGTCACTAGTCACACTGGTCAGTAGGGGTAGACTGGTCACTAGTCACACTGGTCAGTAGGGATAGACTGGTCACTAGTCACACTGGTCAGGAGGGGTAGACTGGTCACTAGTCACACTGGTCAGTAGGGGGTAGACTGGTCACTAGTCACACTGGTCAGTAGGGATAGACTGGTCACTAGTCACACTGGTCAGTAGGGATAGACTGGTCACTAGTCACACTGGTCAGTAGGGATAGACTGGTCACTAGTCACACTGGTCAGTAGGGGTAGACTGGTCACTAGTCACACTGGTCAGTAGGGATAGACTGGTCACTAGTCACACTGGTCAGTAGGGATAGACTGGTCACTAGTCACACTGGTCAGTAGGGATAGACTGGTCACTAGTCACACTGATCAGTAGGGATAGACTTGTCACTAGTCACACTGGTCAGTGGGGGTAGACTGGTCACTAGTCACACTGGTCAGTAGGGATAGACTGGTCACTAGTCACACTGGTCAGTAGGGGTAGACTGGTCACTAGTCACACTGGTCAGTAGGGATAGACTGGTCACAAGTCACACTGGTCAGTAGGGGTAGACTGGTCACTAGTCACACTGGTCAGTAGGGGTAGACTGGTCACTAGTCACACTGGTCAGTAGGGGCAGACTGGTCACTAGTCACACTGGTCATTAGGGGTAGACTGGTCACTAGTGACACTGGTCAGTAGGGTTAGACTGGTCACTAGTCACACTGGTCAGTAGGGATAGACTGGTCACTAGTCACACTGGTCAGTAGGGGTAGACTGGTCACTAGTCACACTGGTCAGTAGGGATAGACTGGTCACTAGTCACACTGATCTTTAGTTATAGGTTTTACTGTAGACCTTGAACAAAATGTACTCACCTTGTTGAATGGTGGTAACCGCTGCTGAGACACGTGAAAGCTTATCACTAGTGTCCTGCTGGTGCTGTTGCAGTTGATCAATATTGGTGGTACTTGTAGCACTTTGCTCCAGTAGTTGTCCAATGCTTGTGGAGGTTGTAGCACTTTGCTCCTGTAGTTGACGAACAGTTGTGTTGGTCTGGTTTTGCATTTCCACTATGCGTTCACATGCTGCAGTTGTATCTTGTTCACCTATATACATGATAAGATAGGTACACATAAACACTCTCTCACATGCACACACATGTGTATGCACCCATGTACGAATACACAAGTACACACACACACACACACACACACACACATGTGTATGCACCCATGTCAGGGCGTCATAGGGCGGCTGGGAGTGGTACGACCGGGTCAGGGTGTCCCCCAGAGAAAAAAATAAGGATTTTTCGGCTAAGAGGGCACGTTTTAGCACTCTACAGCCGCAAAGGAGGGCTCCCCCACTCCAGCTCCAAAAAACATACTTCTCGTGGATTTTTTGGTATTTTCTGTACATCGTAGGTAGCCAAGCAAGGCAAAAGGAACCCATTGCCCTCGAAAAAATCGCAAAATCGGAAGTACAAGAGTGCTGCTCGTTTTAGCGCCAGCCCCTGTGCAAACACGTACTAGTATGTCAAACTGGTCAGTAGGGATAGACTGGTCACTAGTCACACTGGTCAGTAGGGATAGACTGGTCACTAGTCACACTGGTCAGTAGGGATAGACTGGTCACTAGTCACACTGGTCAGTAGGGATAGACTGGTCACTAGTCACACTGGTCAGTAGGGATAGACTGGTCACTAGTCACACTGGTCAGTAGGGATAGACTGGTCACTAGTCACACTGGTCAGTGGGGGTAGACTGGTCACTAGTCACACTGGTCAGTAGGGGTAGACCGGTCACTAGTCACACTGGTCAGTAGGGGTAGACTGGTCACTAGTCACACTGGTCAGGAGGGGTAGACTGGTCACTAGTCACACTGGTCAGTAGGGGGTAGACTGGTCACTAGTCACACTGGTCAGTAGGGATAGACTGGTCACTAGTCACACTGGTCAGTAGGGATAGACTGGTCACTAGTCACACTGGTCAGTTGGGATAGACTGGTCACTAGTCACACTGGTCAGTAGGGGTAGACTGGTCACTAGTCACACTGGTCAGTAGGGATAGACTGGTCACTAGTCACACTGGTCAGGAGGGGTAGACTGGTCACTAGTCACACTGGTCAGTAGGGGGTAGACTGGTCACTAGTCACACTGGTCAGTAGGGATAGACTGGTCACTAGTCACACTGGTCAGTAGGGATAGACTGGTCACTAGTCACACTGGTCAGTAGGGATAGACTGGTCACTAGTCACACTGGTCAGTAGGGGTAGACTGGTCACTAGTCACACTGGTCAGTAGGGATAGACTGGTCACTAGTCACACTGGTCAGTAGGGGCAGACTGGTCACTAGTCACACAGGTCAGTAGGGGTAGACTTGTCACTAGTCACACTGGTCAGTAGGGGTAGACTGGTCACTAGTCACACTGGTCAGTAGGGATAGACTGGTCACTAGTCACACTGGTCAGTAGGGATAGACTGGTCACTAGTCACACTGGTCAGTAGGGATAGACTGGCCACTAGTAACACTGGTCAGTAGGGATAGACTGGTCACTAGTCACACTGGTCAGTAGGGGTAGACTGGTCACTAGTCACACTGATCTTTAGTTATAGGTTTTACTGTAGACCTTGAACAAAATGTACTCACCTTGTTGAATGGTGGTAACTGCTGCTGAGACAAGGGAAACCTTATCACTAGTGTCTTGCTGGTGCTCCAGTAGGTGTCCAATGCGTGTGGAGGTTGTAGCACTTTGCTCCTGTAGTTGGCGGACAGTTGTGTTGGTCTGGTTTTGCATTTCCACTATGCGTTCACATGCTGCAGTTGTATCTTGTTCACCTATATACATGATAAGATAGGTACACATAAACACTCTCTCACATGCACACACATGTGTATGCACCCATGTACGAATACACAAGTACACACACACACACACACATGTGTATGCACCCATGTCAGGGCGTCATAGGGCGGCTGGGAGTGGTACGACCGGGTCAGGGTGTCCCCCAGAGAAAAAAATAAGGATTTTTCGGCTAAGAGGGCACGTTTTAGCACTCTACAGCCGCAAAGGAGGGCTCCCCACTCCAGCTCCAAAAAACATACTTCTCGTGGATTTTTTGGTATTTTCTGTACATCGTAGGTAGCCAAGCAAGGCAAAAGGAACCCATTGCCCTCGAAAAAATCGCAAAATCGGAAGTACAAGAGTGCTGCTCGTTTTAGCGCCAGCCCCTGGGCAAACACGTACTAGTATGTCAAACTGGTCAGTAGGGATAGACTGGTCACTAGTCACACTGGTCAGTAGGGATAGACTGGTCACTAGTCACACTGGTCAGTAGGGATAGACTGGTCACTAGTCACACTGGTCAGTAGGGATAGACTGGTCACTAGTCACACTGGTCAGTAGGGATAGACTGGTCACTAGTCACACTGGTCAGTGGGGGTAGACTGGTCACTAGTCACACTGGTCAGTAGGGGTAGACTGGTCACTAGTCACACTGGTCAGTAGGGATAGACTGGTCACTAGTCACACTGGTCAGTAGGGGTAGACTGGTCACTAGTGACACTGGTCAGTAGGGGTAGACTGGTCACTAGTCACACTGGTCAGTAGGGGTAGACTGGTCACTAGTCACACTGGTCAGTAGGGGTAGACTGGTCACTAGTTACACTGGTCAGTAGGGGTAGACTGGTCACTAGTCACACTGGTCAGTAGGGGTAGACTGGTCACTAGTCACACTGGTCAGTAGGGATAGACTGGTCACTAGTTACACTGGTCAGTAGGGGTAGACTGGTCACTAGTCACACTGGTCAGTAGGGATAGACTGGTCACTAGTCACACTGGTCAGTAGGGGTAGACTGGTCACTAGTCACACTGGTCAGTAGGGATAGACTGGTCACTAGTCACACTGGTCAGTAGGGGTGGACTGGTCACTAGTCACACTGGTCAGTAGGGGTAGACTGGTCACTAGTCACACTGGTCAGTAGGGATAGACTGGTCACTAGTCACACTGGTCAGTGGGGGTAGACTGGTCACTAGTCACACTGGTCAGTAGGGATAGACTGGTCACTAGTCACACTGGTCAGTAGGGGTAGACTGGTCACTAGTCTCACTGGTCAGTAGGGATAGACTGGTCACTAGTCACACTGGTCAGTAGGGGTAGACTGGTCACTAGTCACACTGGTCATTAGGGGTAGACTGGTCACTAGTGACACTGGTCAGTAGGGGCAGACTGGTCACTAGTCACACTGGTCAGTAGGGATAGACTGGTCACTAGTCACACTGGTCAGTAGGGATAGACTGGTCACTAGTCACACTGGTCAGTAGGGATAGACTGGTCACTAGTCACACTGGTCAGTAGGGGTAGACTGGTCACTAGTCACACTGGTCAGTAGGGGTAGACTGGTCACTAGTCACACTGGTCAGTAGGGATAGACTGGTCACTAGTCACACTGGTCAGTAGGGGTAGACTGGTCACTAGTCACACTGGTCAGTAGGGGTAGACTGGTCACTAGTCACACTGGTCAGTAGGGGTAGACTGGTCACTAGTCACACTGGTCAGTAGGGATAGACTGGTCACTAGTCACACTGGTCAGTAGGGATAGACTGGTCACTAGTCACACTGTTCAGTAGGGGTAGACTGGTCACTAGTCACACTGGTCAGTAGGGGTAGACTGGTCACTAGCCACACTGGTCAGTAGGGATAGACTGGTCACTAGTCACACTGGTCAGTAGGGATAGACTGGTCACTAGTCACACTGGTCAGTAGGGGTAGACTGGTCACTAGTCACACTGATCAGTAGGGGTAGACTGGTCACTAGTCACACTGGTCAGTAGGGATAGACTGGTCACTAGTCACACTGGTCAGTAAGGGTAGACTGGTCACTAGTCACACTGGTCAGTAGGGGTAGACTGGTCACTAGTCACACTGGTCAGTAGGGATAGACTGGTCACTAGTCACACTGGTCAGTAGGGGTAGACTGGTCACTAGTCACACTGGTCAGTAGGGGTAGACTGGTCACTAGTCACACTGGTCAGTAGGGATAGACTGGTCACTAGTCACACTGGTCAGTAGGGATAGACTGGTCACTAGTCACACTGTTCAGTAGGGGTAGACTGGTCACTAGTCACACTGATCAGTAGGGGTAGACTGGTCACTAGTCACACTGGTCAGTAGGGATAGACTGGTCACTAGTCACACTGGTCAGTAGGGGTAGACTGGTCACTAGTCACACTGGTCAGTAGGGGTAGACTGGTCACTAGTCACACTGGTCAGTAGGGATAGACTGGTCACTAGTCACACTGGTCAGTAGGGGTAGACTGGTCACTAGTCACACTGATCTTTAGTTATAGGTTTTACTGTAGACCTTGGAAAAAATGTACTCACCTTGTTGAATGGTGGTAACTGCTGCTGAGACACGTGAAAGCTTATCACTAGTGTCCTGCTGGTGCTGTTGCAGTTGATCAATATTGGTGGTACTTGTAGCACTTTGCTCCAGTAGTTGTCCAATGCTTGTGGAGGTTGTAGCACTTTGCTCCTGTAGTTGACGAACAGTTGTGTTGGTCTGGTTTTGCATTTCCACTATGCGTTCACATGCTGCAGTTGTATCTTGTTCACCTATATACATGATAAGATAGGTACACATAAACACTCTCTCACATGCACACACATGTGTATGCACCCATGTACGAATACACAAGTACACACACACACACACACACACACACACACATGTGTATGCACCCATGTCAGGGCGTCATAGGGCGGCTGGGAGTGGTACGACCGGGTCAGGGTGTCCCCCAGAGAAAAAAATAAGGATTTTTCGGCTAAGAGGGCACGTTTTAGCACTCTACAGCCGCAAAGGAGGGCTCCCCCACTCCAGCTCCAAAAAACATACTTCTCGTGGATTTTTTGGTATTTTCTGTACATCGTAGGTAGCCAAGCAAGGCAAAAGGAACCCATTGCCCTCGAAAAAATCGCAAAATCGGAAGTACAAGAGTGCTGCTCGTTTTAGCGCCAGCGGCTGTGCAAACACGTACTAGTATGTCAAACTGGTCAGTAGGGATAGACTGGTCACTAGTCACACTGGTCAGTAGGGATAGACTGGTCACTAGTCACACTGGTCAGTAGGGATAGACTGGTCACTAGTCACACTGGTCAGCAGGGATAGACTGGTCACTAGTCACACTGGTCAGTGGGGGTAGACTGGTCACTAGTCACACTGGTCAGTAGGGATAGACTGGTCACTAGTCACACTGGTCAGTAGGGGTAGACTGGTCACTAGTCACACTGGTCAGTAGGGATAGACTGGTCACTAGTCACACTGGTCAGTAGGGGTAGACTGGTCACTAGTCACACTGGTCATTAGGGGTAGACTGGTCACTAGTGACACTGGTCAGTAGGGGCAGACTGGTCACTAGTCACACTGGTCAGTAGGGATAGACTGGTCACTAGTCACACTGGTCAGTAGGGATAGACTGGTCACTAGTCACACTGGTCAGTAGGGGTAGACTGGTCACTAGTCACACTGGTCAGTAGGGGTAGACTGGTCACCAGTCACACTGGTCAGTAGGGGTAGACTGGTCACTAGTCACACTGGTCAGTAGGGATAGACTGGTCACTAGTCACACTGGTCAGTAGGGATAGACTGGTCACTAGTCACACTGGTCAGTAGGGGTAGACTGGTCACTAGTCACACTGGTCTGAGTAGAGATAGACTGGTCACTAGTCACACTGGTCAGTAGGAATAGACTGGTCACTAGTCACACTGGTCAGTAGGGATAGACTGGTCACTAGTCACACTGGCACTGGTCAGTAGGGGTAGACTGGTCACTAGTCACACTGGTCAGTAGGGATCGACTGGTCACTAGTCACACTGGTCAGTAGGGATAGACTGGTCACTAGTCACACTGGCACTGGTCAGTAGGGGTAGACTGGTCACTAGTCACACTGGTCAGTAGGGATAGACTGGTCACTAGTCACACTGATCAGTAGGGGTAGACTGGTCACTAGTCACACTGGTCAGTAGGGATCGACTGGTCACTAGTCACACTGGTCAGTAGGGATAGGCTGGTCACTAGTCACACTGATCAGTAGAGGCAGACTGGTCACTAGTCACACTGGTCAGTAGGGGTAGACTGGTCATTAGTCACACTGGTCAGTAGGGGTAGACTGGTCACTAGCCACACTGGTCAGTAGGGATAGACTGGTCACTAGTCACACTGGTCAGTAGGGATAGACTGGTCACTAGTCACACTGGTCAGTAGGGATAGACTGGTCACTAGTCACACTGGTCAGTAGGGATAGACTGGTCACTAGTCACACTGTTCAGTAGGGGTAGACTGGTCACTAGTCACACTGGTCAGTAGGGGTAGACTGGTCACTAGTCACACTGGTCAGTAGGGATAGACTGGTCACTAGTCACACTGGTCAGTAGGGGTAGACTGGTCACTAGTCACACTGGTCAGTAGGGGTAGACTGGTCACTAGTCACACTGGTCCTGAGTAGAGATAGAGTGGTCACAAGTCACACTGGTCAGTAGGAATAGACTGGTCACTAGTCACACTGGTCAGTAGGGATAGACTGGTCACTAGTCACACTGGTCAGTAGGGATAGACTGGTCACTAGTCACACTGGTCAGTAGGGGTAGACTGGTCACTAGTCACACTGGTCAGTAGGGGTAGACTGGTCACTAGTCACACTGGTCAGTAGGGGTAGACTGGTCACTAGTCACACTGGTCAGTAGGGATAGACTGGTCACTAGTCACACTGGTCAGTAGGGATAGACTGGTCACTAGTCACACTGTTCAGTAGGGGTAGACTGGTCACTAGTCACACTGATCAGTAGGGGTAGACTGGTCACTAGTCACACTGGTCAGTAGGGATAGACTGGTCACTAGTCACACTGGTCAGTAGGGGTAGACTGGTCACTAGTCACACTGGTCAGTAGGGGTAGACTGGTCACTAGTCACACTGGTCAGTAGGGATAGACTGGTCACTAGTCACACTGGTCAGTAGGGGTAGACTGGTCACTAGTCACACTGATCTTTAGTTATAGGTTTTACTGTAGACCTTGGAAAAAATGTACTCACCTTGTTGAATGGTGGTAACTGCTGCTGAGACACGTGAAAGCTTATCACTAGTGTCCTGCTGGTGCTGTTGCAGTTGATCAATATTGGTGGTACTTGTAGCACTTTGCTCCAGTAGTTGTCCAATGCTTGTGGAGGTTGTAGCACTTTGCTCCTGTAGTTGACGAACAGTTGTGTTGGTCTGGTTTTGCATTTCCACTATGCGTTCACATGCTGCAGTTGTATCTTGTTCACCTATATACATGATAAGATAGGTACACATAAACACTCTCTCATATGCACACACATGTGTATGCACCCATGTACGAATACACAAGTACACACACACACATATATACATGTATATACAAACACAGACACACACACAAACACACACACACACACACACACACCTTTCCACAAAACACACGCACATGCACACATGTGCACGCACGCACGCACACACATGCACACACACGCACACAAAGGCAGAGAAAACAGAGACAGCCGGCTATATTATAGTTGTAACGCTTTGTTTTATGAGCAATAAGAAGGAGAGGTGAAAGTCAAGTCTCAGCAATGGCAGCCAGGTGACTCTAGTCAACTTTGCCTATAACAACACTTGGCGGGGCATCAGAAAAGTGTCCTTATTCGCGAAGAGTCCTGATACCCGAAGTCTCATTGTATATATTTATTAAAGTTGCTCGATGTGCGGACATATTTTTTATTACAGTTAGACGGGACTTTGCTCTTGGCATGGAAATTCTGTCGTTATTCGCGAATTGTCGTGCTCGAGAGTTTTCACTTATTCTGGTGTCCATATTTTGACACTTTTTGTTTTTGTTTAAAAGCGTGGATGCATCAGTGCGGATCCATCTTCACCTTTTCAGCTAAGCACAGACCGCACCTTTGAATTCTTTATTCTCACGATGGCACCATCGCCAATAAGAGATAAGTTTATGAGAAGGTGAGATGCTGTGAGTGGGGCTGCGGGTTATGCAGCACAAAAAACCCATGTTCACATGGTTAAATGTGCATTGCGGTATAGCACTATGTGCATACTTATGCATGGTACCGGTACACTAGCAACTCAAGGTACCGGTACACTAGCAACTCATGGTACCGGTACACTAGCAACTCAAGGTACCGGTACACTAGCAACTCAAGGTACCGGTACACTAGCAACTCAAGGTACCGGTACACTAGCAACTCAAGGTACCGGTACACTAGCAACTCAAGGTACCGGTACACTAGCAACTCAAGGTACCGGTACACTAGCAACTCAAGGTACCGGTACACTAGCAACTCAAGCACATGCGCCTATGTGTGAGACAAAACGACCCGCAAAAAATAGCAAATAACGCAAAAAACTCACTGATAAGCTCATGTGACTTTACGTGCGTCACTACAATAGCATTATAGGGACTTGTACAGTGGGGAGTCTGTCACTACAATAGTATTATAGGGACTTGTACAGTGGGGAGTCTGTCACTACAATAGTATTATAGGGACTTGTACAGTGTGGAGTCTGTCACTACAATAGTATTATAGGGACTTGTACAGTGGGGAGTCTGTCACTACAATAGTATTATAGGGACTTGTACAGTGTGGAGTCTGTCACTACAATAGTATTATAGGGACTTGTACAGTGGGGAGTCTGTCACTACAATAGTATTATAGGGACTTGTACAGTGGGGAGTCTGTCACTACAATAGTATTATAGGGACTTGTACAGTGTGGAGTCTGTCACTACAATAGTATTATAGGGACTTGTACAGTGGGGAGTCTGTCACTACAATAGTATTATAGGGACTTGTACAGTGGGGAGTCTGTCACTACAATAGTATTATAGGGACTTGTACAGTGGGGAGTCTGTCACTACAATAGTATTATAGGGACTTGTACAGTGGGGAGTCTGTCACTACAATAGTATTATAGGGACTTGTACAGTGGGGAGTCTGTCACTACAATAGTATTATAGGGACTTGTACAGTGGGGAGTCTGTCACTACAATAGTATTATAGGGACTTGTACAGTGGGGAGTCTGTCACTACAATAGTATTATAGGGACTTGTACAGTGGGGAGTCTGTCACTACAATAGTATTATAGGGACTTGTACAGTGTGGAGTCTGTCACTACAATAGTATTATAGGGACTTGTACAGTGGGGAGTCTGTCACTACAATAGTATTATAGGGACTTGTACAGTGGGGAGTCTGTCACTACAATAGTATTATAGTGACTTGTACAGTGGGGAGTCTGTCAGTACAATAGTATTATATGGACTTGTACAGTGGGGAGTCTGTCACTACAATAGTATTATAGGGACTTGTACAGTGGGGAGTCTGTCAATACAATAGTATTATAGGGACTTGTACAGTGGGGAGTCTGCACAACAGTTGGTTCTGGTGGGGTGGGAGGCGCCAAGTGCTGGTGAATGGAAGGCTATACTGGAGGGTAACTTGAGCGGGGACCTGTTTGTGATGTTGCTGTAGGTCTTTGCTCTGTCGACGATAGATCACCCAATGGGCAATTTTTGACTTCTTTCATGCGATGTGACAAACCTAAAAGCAGATCTTTGTAGAGAGAGAAGAAACCCTGGTGCCAGAATTTCCCATTTTTAGATAGGGTTGTGTGGGCAGGCATGTATTTACGGCCATTTCCCCACTTGTGTTTCAACCACCATTCCCTGCTTTATGATGACACTACATCGGAGCGTTTACATCATTTCAGCAGAAATATTGACAGCAAATGATTTACCTCTCGCCATTGTGTCGCTCAGCTGTGCCACTTGTTCATAGGTAGTCCGGGCTTCCAGTTGTATTTCATCCATCTTGTCGTTGGTTGTGCGAGCTTCAGCAGAGACCTCCTGCTGGACCTGAGTCATGCGGTTGTTGGTGACTTCAACCTGTGCAGAGAGATTATCCAACCTGGTGCCTAGTTGCTGCTGAGATGTGGAGAGATCCCGTACGGCAGTTGACACACTCCTCACAGTGTCCAGTATAGTGGTAACGAGGCCTGCAGAAGCACCCAGAGATTCTTCCAGTGGAGATGCAGTCTGCGTAAATCGGGTAAAAGACAAACATGAAACCACACAACAGAGCAAGCAATGAAGATTGTCAGCAGGGAAAAATGTATAAAAAAGCAGCGTGGAGAAGATAGTTTAACCCTCTGATACAAGACCATACAAAATCATCTGTTTTTGGTCGCTGTAGTTGCTTGCACTGAAATGCTCACAACTTATACTGTTCTTGACGAAAGTTCACAATCAAAATACCAGAAAAGAAGGAGAGCAGGGCAGCTCTCCAATGCAACAATTGCCAACGAGCTACAATGGAGCGTTGCGCAATTGGAGCATTCTGCGATGAATGAGTGTGAAATGGCTGGCATCGAGGGAATTTGCTGGTATATTCAGCTCGGCGGACTATTCGAGGCGCTGCGGTATTTGATATGTGACAAGTGTGGTGTTGAGATTGGGCTCATTGTTCTCTGTGCAGAGGGAGGGGTCTTTCTATACAGGCCAAGGTTATGGAAATCTGATAACCAGAATCAAAAAAATGGCCAGGGTGTAAAGGTTAACATAATTATAGCAATTCATAATAATTATTGCAATTCCAGTTTAGGGAATCAACGTGAAAGCCGATAAAATCCAGAACCTGTAGCAAGTACGAAAGGAGCAATACAGCAAGCTGATGAAAGATAATAGCAACAAAACTCTAAGATCACGCCTGAGCAAGCATACGATGAAGTCAGCAGCGAGGTAAAGAAGATCACAGAGGGTCTAAATCTTGCCATGTACGTACTGGCTAAGTCAGAAGCATTAAGTAATAGTGCTCAAAGACGATAAGGACAACTTTGCTAGAGCGCTGCCCTACAGACTCATTAACCCGGCCAAGTCCGAAGTGGGTGTGTCCGTTCCTAATGGTTCAGGTAGAATCACCCATTCTGGACTTGCTGTCCACACACCCATCAGATATGCTGAACCCTGTTATTACTTGAGATTGTTTGCCAGGATACTTGCAGAATGTCTCTCAGACTCTTTTTCTCTTCACATGGTACAGTCTTGACAGATTCTATTAGCCATTTCGCGCCACTCTTTTGTCTTTAGCTTTTTTCCTGCTTTGCTATCTCTCTCTCTCTCTCTCTCTCTCTCTCTCTCTCTCTCTCTCTCTCTCCTTTTTGCTGCGCGCCTTAAAAGGGGAGATGTAGTAATATTCTGACTGTTATGCGCAAACCACTGTACACTTATGACCGTATGCACTGCATGCCGTATGTACGCTATGCAGGCTCAGTATCACCCGTAGGCCAGAACGTTTGGTGGGCTTCCCTCAAGGGCTCGGGAATTTCTTTGTGTTTCCCTGACCTGCTGGTTGTGCATGTTCTTGCTTATCCGATGATTAGTTTATTCTTCTATATTATCTCATTGTCCAAACTATATAGAGAATAGTACTACATGATACTGGAGAGAATTATGGCCGCTATGCGTCACTAAACAGAAATAAACCTATGGAGACACACCATGTCCTGTATGTCCTGTGTGTCCTGTCATGTGATTGAGTGGCCTAATTAAGGAGATACCAGACAAGCAGCACAGCACACGTTACTATGCTTTGATGTGGTAGAATTTCACCCCTTGATTGGTTAGCGAATCCTTTGTTCTCTGCTGTATCGTTTGCACAGCAGTTCACTGCAATCAAGCAGCAAGATATGGACATCATTCACGGCCGAAAATTGCTCCTTTTTATGATAGCGGTCATCCCTGGATATAAGACAAGGAGAATAATTATATGTTCGATGGAACGATAGGCGGCTATGATGGTGCCAAGACCGGTAAGGTTGTGGGCACTTTTCAGCTCAACTAGCTCTCAAACAACGTGGATATAGATGTTCAAGCGCTTTGACCTGGGAATGACTATCGAACCAAACTTTAATACAGTGGATTTCTTGAATATCACCATGAACCTGGATATGGGGAAATTTCAACCTCTCCGAAAGTCAAATGACAACCCCCTTTACGTTAGCAAACAGATCAACCATCCGCCCGGGATCACCAACAAAATACCTGCTGCTGTCAACAAGCATATTTCCCCAATATGGACCAGTGAGTCATTGAGGCATTCAACCCCGCAGCACCATGTACCTATAGCTCACTGTAGTCTAGTGGATATACAGATATCTTGGCCTATCAGTCCGACACACAAGAACAGCGGAGCAGGAAGAGCCGTTGCCAGAGGGTTATATGGTTCAACTCAGGCTCTGCACTCCTTATTTGGCATTGAAAAGACATACAAGTCTTTAGCGTTGAATGGGTTAAAGCTTGGTCCGTCGAATCCGGCAGAATACGAGCAGAATGGGGCACAATACCGGCAGAATACGAACAGAATGTCGAGCAGAACACGCTACTTTTCCAAGCATTATCCGCCAGGCCCTAAGCATCATCTCCCCCCCCCCCCCGGAAATACCCCTACAAGCACCAACACAAGCACCCTACTCCCCCCCCCCCCCCGGGAAATACCCTTGCAAGCACCAACACAAACACCCCCTCCCCCCGGAAATACCCCTACAAGCACCAACACAAGCACACACCCTCCCACCCCCTCCCGGAAAATTCAAGCACCAACATAAGCACCCCCCCCCTCCCGGAAATACCCCTACAAGCACCAACACAAGCACCCCCCCCCCCCCCCGGGAATACCCCTACAAGCACCAACACAAGCACCCCCCCCCCCCGGAAATACCCCTACAAGCACCAACACAAGCACCCCCCCCCCCCCCCGAAATACCCCTACAAGCACCAACACAAGCACCCCCCCCCCCCGGAAATACCCTTACAAGCACCAACACAAGCACCCCCCGGAAATACCCTTACAAGCACCAATACAAGCACCCCCCCCCCCGGAAATACCCTTACAAGCCCCAACATAAGCACTACCCCCCCCCCCCCCCCGGAAATACCCCTACAAGCACCAACACAAGCACGCCCCCTCCGGAAATACACTTACAAGCACCAACACAAGCACCCCCCCCCCCCCCGGAAATGCCCCTACAAGCACCAACACAAGCACCCCCTCCCCCCCCTCCCGGAAATACCCCTACAAGCACCAACACAAGCACCCCCTCCCCCCCCTCCCGGAAATACCCCTACAAGCACCAACACAAGCACCCGCCCCCCCCCCCCCCCCCTGGAAATACCCCTACAAGCAGCAACACAAGCACCCCCTCCCCCCCCCCCTCCCGGAAATACCCCTACAAGCACCAACACAAGCACCCCCCCCCCCCCTGGGGAAATACCCCTACAAGCAGCAACACAAGCAAGAAGAACCTTCACGAGCACCTTCAAAAGTACATGTACATGTAAAAATAAAAGTAAAGTTCGCACATCCGCGTTACGACCGGTTTACGCTTGTGTTGAGAAACACGACCAGCTTAGAGAAGTTTCACTCGTGCCAGGCCATCACCATGACTGATTATACCAGGGTGGCAGATGCAGTGCCATAAACAGTGAGGGTGAGGTGGTGCAATGCCCGATAAGGGGGAGAACCTCGTTAGCTGCATCTATGCTACCCTCGCTCTGAGTAGTGAGTACTCAGTTGACCGCGGGTGTCGGCGCAGTTCATTGATTGTAAAGTGGTTCACGAATGCATCACAGTATCTATGCAGGGAGCGTTGTACTGTGCTAACATCACAGTATTTATGCAGGGAGTGTTGTACTGTGCTAACATCACAGTATTTATGCAGGGAGTGTTGTACTGTGCTAACATCACAGTATTTATGCAGGGAGTGTTGTACTGTGCTAACATCACCCTAACACCCTAACACCCTAACACCCTCACATCCTAACACCCTAACACCCTAACACCCTAACACCCTAACACCCTAACACCCTAACACCCTAACACCCTAACACCCTAACACCCTCACATCCTCAAATACATGTACATGTACATGTACTTCTACAAGTGACCCAACAAGATTAGCTAAAAGGACTACAACAAACTTCCCACCACCCACACAAGCATCCACGTACACAAGCACTCTTACACAAGTGCCCGCTTAAACACTCCCAAATTCTCTCCAACAAGGACCCCTGCAAATACTCCAAAATATCCCCACAAATACCCCCCACAAAAACCCTACAAGCACCCCAACAACAAAAAAACGACAAGCATTCCTGGAACCACCCTTATACCAGCATCCCTAGAACCACCCCTATACAAGCACCCCTAGAACCACCCCTATACAAGCAACCCAGAACCACCCCTATACAAGCACCCCTAGAATCACCCCTATACAAGCACCCCTAGAACCACCCCTATACAAGCACCCCTAGAACCACCCCTATACAAGCATTCCTAGAACCACCCCTATACAAGCATTCCTAGAACCACCCCTATACAAGCAACCCAGAACCACCCCTATGCAAGCATCCCTTGAACCACCCCTATACAAGCACCCCTAGAACCACCCCTATACAAGCACCCCTAGAACCACCCCTATACAAGCATTCCTAGAACCACCCCTATACAAGCATTCCTAGAACCACCCCTATACAAGCACCCCTAGAACCACCCCTATACAAGCATTCCTAGAACCACCCCTATACAAGCATTCCTAGAACCACCCCTATACAAGCATTCCTAGAACCACCCCTATACAACCACCCCTATACAATCACCCCTATACAAGCATCCCTAGAACCACCCCTATACAAGCATTCCTAGAACCACCCCTATACAAGCATCCCTAGAACCACCCCTATACAAGCATTACTAGAACCACCCCTATACAAGCATTCCTAGAACCACCCCTATACAACTACCCATATAGACAAGAATCCCTATACAAGCACCATGTACCTGCACAAACATTCACAAATTCTTCCCCTCCACTACCCCAGAGACGCTCTCACAAACACCCCCACAGGTATCCACACAAACACCACTAGGGTCCGGCGGATTCTGCCGGCAGAAAAATTGGCAGAATTCGGTACTTTTTCTGGTGAGTTTCATGCATGTTTGGTATGTGGATAAAAAAATGGAGCAGAATTCGAGGAATTGC